TCTCACACTTTATTTTAACCCTTACCCCAAGGGTTAGGGTAAGAATAGAGTGTGAGAGAGGTTAGAAGCACTTACCTAACCCTAATTTGTACCCTCACGTAACCCTAAATGTACCATGTGCCTAACCTTAGTGAATGCACTAACTATAATGAAAGTGTAAAACTAGTTTTACTTACCTTCCAGGACCTTGCTGTGGAGGGGTAGCAGGAGTGCTAGCACACATGTGCAGCACAGGATCCAGCTGATTCCCCTCCCCGGAAGTGACGGGGTATAGCAATCTGACCAGTGGCGTACACATGACCCATGGGGCCCCGGTGCGAAAATTGATCCGTGGGCCACCCTCCCGCGCTTACTCGGCGCGGGTCGGGGCCGCAACACATGGCGGTGGGCACCTGGTCGTAGGGCTGCAACCCCGTGACTGCGGTATGCACACACACTTAAAGGACCACTACAGACACCCAGATCACATCAGCTCAATGAAGTGGTCTGGGTGCCAGGTCCCTCTAGTTTTAACCCTGCAGCTGAAAACATAGCCGTTTCAGAGAAACGGCTATGTTTCACTGAGGTTAATCCAGCCTCTGGTGGCTGTCTCATTGACAGCTGCTAGAGGAGCTTCCGCGATTCTCACTGTGAAAATCACAGTGAGAAGACACTGAACGTCCATATGAAAGCATTGAGTAATACTTTCCTATGGGCGGTTTAAATGCGCGCGCGCGCCTCTTGCCGCGCATATGCATTCGGAGCTGAGAGGCGGACACTGGGGAGTCCGATGCTGGAGAAAGGTAAATGCTGAAGACACACACACACACTCTCACGAACAGACGCATACACACTAGCTAACAGACACACACATTTACTAACAGAGACACACTCAGCGACAGACATACATACACTTTCACTGACAAACACTCACTAACAGACATCAAACATACTTCGTAACAGACACACACAGTAACACACTCACTAGCAGACACACACCCAATAACTGACACACTCACACTAGCACACTCACACTAACACAAACACACACACTAACACAAACACACACTAACACACATTTTTTTTTTTTAAATTTAATCCCCCCAGCCTCCTTATTTTACCCCCCAGGAGAGGAGGCTGGCCCTGTGGGTACATACCGGGTCGCAGGGGCGGCCGGGCCCCCTGGTGGGCCGGGCCCGGTCGCAGTCGCGACCCCTGTGTCATGCCAAAAGCATGAGTTGGTGTTTGTGTGTTTATATATGTTAAGAGTTGTTTTTTTGTAAACCTTGGGATGACATTTATTGTGGTCTTTGATCTTGCACCAGGCCTAGACCATAAAACATCTAGATAGCCATCACCAGAGCTGGACACAAGGAATTTCATAGAGTGGGCAATAGACTGCCAGACCAACCCCTTCTGATCCCCCCCTAGGGTCTGCCCACTGAGAAACAACTAGTTTAGATATATGAGGGGTGTTGGACTATCCAGGGGAGTCAGTTATTCTTTTTCTTTTTGTCAGTAACTTCTAGGAGACCTATACCATCTAAGACTCCCACAAGAATTCTATATGGGGTAAATATATGTAAGGAATTTCTTGTGTTTTCTCCTATTTTATTTTATGTACTGTTTTGCAATTTGTTATCTGTATGTCATTTATTTCTGTATTTTGTACTCCGCACTGTGAATCATTTTTGTCAGATTAAATGTTTACTTAATCAGCTTGTGTCTCTGTTCTCTATGAGCTTCACTCTCCAGAGGAAAGCTCAGGTAAACACGTTACCAAAAAGGGGTTAACTATATATGTTTTATCAGTAAAAGTAGAACTGTGATACTATAATTCTCCTGTGTGTGGGGTAACCTAAGACGCCCGGGTTTAAAAGTCTTGGTGGTGGCAGTACTAAGGGGGTTAGTGTAGAAGGGATTGCAGGGGTTAATTGAGTGGTTGCTGGGACTAGCAACAGGTAACCAGGGGTCTGGTGTCATTAACCCTGTCACTTCCACACTCTCCCCACTGTCTCAGCTGGGCCTATAGCAGACACACTCACTGACACACTCACTGACACACTCACTGACACACTCACTGACACAAACACACACAAACTAACACAAACACACACACTAACACACTTTTTTTTTTTAAATTTAATCCCCCCAGCCTCCTTATCTTACCCCCCAGGAGAGGAGGCTGGCCCTGTGGGTACATACCGGGTCGCAGGGGCGGCCGGGCCTCCTGGTGGGCCGGGCCCGGTCGCAGTCGCGACCCCTGCGACCCTGGTATGTACGCCACTGAATCTGACGGAGTATAGCAGAATGATAGAACATTGTCACCATCATCTTCCTGCCAGTCACCTTCAGCTCCTGGTGCTTCAGCTGCCAGGAGCCGATATCAGCGTTGTACTGTCATGCAACAATGAGGCCTATGGAGGAACCCACAAGACCCCAGGAACTTTTTCACCTCAGCAATCACTAATGATGGCTATGGCTAGGGCTTGACAAAAGGTAGCTCCGCCTTTAGTCAAGCGTTGAAAAATACTAATACAAAGTAAACAAGTATAATTTTTTGACTCTGCTGGAATTTCAGTCAAATTCAAACACAGTCAATGTATTTCATAAAGATTTTATTATTATGACATTCTCATTTTTGATAGGGGTGAGGGGAGGGCAGTGCTACTATAAAGACACATTACTGTGAGTGTTATTGCTATGGAGCTCTGTTATAAAACCAAACACAGCAACATTATAAAGCTCACTGTGAGTATTATTACTATGGAGCTCTGTTATAAAACCAAACACAGCAACATTATAAAGCTCACTGTGAGTATTATTACTATGGAGCTCTGTTATAAAACCAAACACACCAACATTATAAAGCTCACTGTGAGTATTATTACTATGGAGCTCTGTTATACAGGCACACACACCAACATTATAAAGCTCACTGTGAGTATTATTACTATGGAGCTCTGTTATACAGGCACACACACCAACATTATAAAGCTCACTGTGAGTATTATTACTATGGAGTTCTGTTATACAGGCACACACACCAACATTATAAAGCTCACTGTGAGTATTATTACTATGGAGCTCTGTTATACAAGCACACACACCAACATTATAAAGCTCACTGTGAGTATTATTACTATGGAGCTCTGTTATACAAGCACACACACCAACATTATAAAGCTCACTGTGAGTATTATTACTATGGAGCTCTGTTATACAAGCACACACACCAACATTATAAAGCTCACTGTGAGTATTATTACTATGGAGCTCTGTTATACAAGCACACACACCAACATTATAAAGCTCACTGTGAGTATTATTACTATGGAGCTCTGTTATACACACACACCAACATTATAAAGCTCACTGTGAGTATTATTACTATGGAGCTCTGTTATACACACACCAACATTATAAAGCTCACTGAGTATTATTGCTATGGAGCTCTGTTATACAGGCACACACACCAACATTATAAAGCTCACTGTGCGTATTATTGCTATGGAGCTCTGTTATACAGGCACACACACCAACATTATAAAGCTCACTGTGGATTATTGCTATGGAGCTCTGTTATACAGGCACACACACCAACATTATAAAGCTCACTGTGCGTATTATTGCTATGGAGCTCTGTTATACAGGCACACACACCAACATTATAAAGCTCACTGTGGTATTATTGCTATGGAGCTCTGTTATACAGGCACACACACCAACATTATAAAGCTCACTGTGCGTATTATTACTATGGAGCTCTGTTATACAGACACACACACCAACATTATAAAGCTCAGTGTGAGTATTATTACTATGGAGCTCTGTTATACAGACACACACACCAACATTATAAAGCTCAGTGTGAGTATTATTACTATGGAGCTCTGTTATACAGACACACACACCAACATTATAAAGCTCAGTGTGAGTATTATTACTATGGAGCTCTGTTATACAGGCACACACACATTATAAAGCTCACTGTGGGTATAATTACTATGGAGCTCTGTTATACAGGCACACACACCAACATTATAAAGCTCACTGTGAGTATTATTGCTACGGAGCTCTGTTATACAGGCACACACACACCAACATTATAAAGCTCACTGTGAGTATTATTGCTACGGAGCTCTGTTATACAAGCACACACACCAACATTATAAAGCTCAGTGTGAGTATTATTACTATGGAGCTCTGTTATACACACACACCAACATTATAAAGCTCACTGTGAGTATTATTACTATGGAGCTCTGTTATACAGGCACACACACCAACATTATAAAGCTCACTGTGAGTATTATTGCTATGGAGCTCTGTTATACAGGCACACACACCAACATTATAAAGCTCACTGTGAGTATTATTGCTATGGAGCTCTGTTATACAGGCACACACACCAACATTATAAAGCTCACTGTGAGTATTATTGCTATGGAGCTCTGTTATACAGGCACACACACCAACATTATAAAGCTCACCGTGCGTATTATTGCTATGGAGCTCTGTTATACAGGCACACACACCAACATTATAAAGCTCACCGTGCGTACTATTGCTATGGAGCTCTGTTATACAGGCACACACACCAACATTATAAAGCTCAGAACAGAGGGACGGAGGGATGGGGTCCAAACTAGGGACTGTGCCTCCTGACTCGGGCCACTTAGGAGGTATGTGAATATGGACACAGAGGTAGCAGTTTGACTAATTCAGACTAAACACTGTAACTCAGCGTTGTTATAATAATAACCGTGCTAGAGCAGGGAATAAGCCTTACTTCCCCATTAACCGATGACGTCGCACCCCATTTTATTGCACAATTCTCCCCCAAACCATCATTTGCTGCCTACGGACAGGTGGTCGGAGGACACGCCCACATACTATACGCATGCCCCCGGAAACGTCGTCTCGGATAACTGCACCTTTGCCTGTCGGAATTTGTAGTTTTCTTCTGCTTGGTAAGCTTAAGGTTTAGACTTTCATCGCACTACAAGTCCCTAGATGCTTTGCGGCCCATGTGTCTTTCACTTTCTTGTGCGTTGCATCAGCTGTGATTGAAAGACCGGTGTTCCAGTGTTCTAGAGTGCGGTGTGTGCATTACGGTGTTCCCATGAAGCTGGTAATCAGTGAAGGGAGCCCACATGGGATTAAAGTCCTGGCAGCTGCTGCTCTCTGGGCTGGGAATGTGGAGATCCAGAGGCTGCAGCAGGAAGGTAAACAGATTGTACTGCATGGACTGCACATGGCTTGTAATGGGGGGGGACACTATGCCAGGGGGTAGGCAACCTTCTGCACACCAGATGTTGTGGACTACATCTCCTTTAATGCGGGCACAGCATCATGGGAGATGTAGTCCACAACATCTGGGGTGCACAAGGTTGCCTACCCCCTGGTCTATGCTTTCATCCCATGACATGATTATTAGCAGGAATTCTCCCCAAATCAGCTATTTGTAGGCTCTGTCAATCCACCTTTTTGTTAACTCTCTCCCCTGGGATGTGCAGTCAAACCCCCACTGCTTTAAATGTACTGAATCCTGACACTCTATTAACACCCAAACCTTCATAATTCGATCCAGCTCTCCTTGATACTTTATAAATGTATGGACTTCTTTGTTAATGTGTTTGATAACAATTGATCTATTTTTTTTTTTTTTTATTATTATTTATTTATGGTAGACCACCAACAATTTTTATGTTGGCATTTATTAATTGCTTGAATGTCTAGGGTTTTGAAACACTGCATTCTCTTGTCCATACAAAATTTGTGTTATTGTTATTTATAAAGTGCCAATGGTGGACAAATTAGTCTTGTATTTGTAACCAGACGTACTGGATGGACAGGTACAGAGGGTGTAGAAGGCCCTGCTCAAACGAGCTTACATTCTAGAGCAGAGGTAGGCAACTCTTTAGCAGCATTGTGCCGATATAGGATTGTGATGTGCCGGTCCTATTTTCTTTTAAATTGAGATGTGTATGTTGTCGTATTCTGCTTGTGTTATTTATACTGCAGTTGTTTTGTATCGTTGTATTTGTGCGTATATGAGCTATTATATTGTATATGTTCACGAGTAGTTTGTGGTATCGTGTATGATACATATGTATGAGGGCTGCTTGTGGAATTGTATGTGTGGGGGTTGTTTTGGGGTATTGCATGTGAGAGGCTGCATGTGGGGTTGTGTGCATGCTTGTGGGGTTGTGTGCATGCTTGTGGGGTTGTGTTTATGTTTGTGTCTGGGATGTTCGTATTATTTGTATGAGGGGAGGATTATTGTGCATTTCATTGTATAGCGTTCTTCTGAACATTCCCATCTTCATTATCTTCACATTCCCATAGTCTTCATCATCAATCCATCATATGCCATTTTGTAAAAGTTTGGATATACAGTATAGGATTTATTTTATTTACAGATGTTTGTTTTGTTGTCTTTTTTCAGAAAAGGTTGTGCCTTTCCTATCACAGCCTAAGTTGCCAGCCCTGCAATTAGATAATGGAAACTTTCTCTTCACTACCAATGCGATCTGTAGGTATGTATCAAACATTGGCCATCTCTCCACTGGTTTTATGAAAATACCGAGGGCAGGTTAGCTTCCAAGTGTTTAAGGGTTACTCCAAGCACCTTGACAACTTCAGATTTTTTTTATGTTGTTGTCAGAGGTGTAACTGAGCCAGCACCGACCAGTGTTTTAGGCTAGCTAATGTCAATTCTGTGCATATCCTTTGTGCAGCAGGTCACTGAGAGGGAGAGTTGGCACCTGGCACTTGGAGCTCTATAAATGGCTTACTATGGCCCGTAACATCTTCCTGTATGTGAGATTAAAGTTCAATCAATTGAGAGAGATATTAGAACTCCTAAAGATAACACACTGTGCTAAAAAATCGGACTGAAAATAAAACTTTTTTTTTTTTTCTCTCCTCTTCTTTTAGGTATTTATTCTTGTCATCAGGAAAGGACATAACTGACCTAAGCAATCAGTGGCTGGAATGGGAAGCTACAGAACTGCAGGTGTGTTTATCATAATTGATGGTCTTTTTTATTATTCTGTAGCATTATATGCTTTACTTTTCATTAGTTTCAGTCCTATATTTGACTGCAAATTATTGTGTATTTTTCTGGTGTTGAAGTTATTTAAAACTTTATTTTGTTTATCCTCCAATAGCCAGCATGCATTGCTGCCCTGCATAGTCATGTGGTTCAGGGTAAGAAGAAGGAAGAAGCTATACTAAACATTCAGAAGTGTCTCATTCATCTTGATCAGAGCCTTGGAAAGGAAAACCACCCATACATTGTTACTGTAAGCACTGATCTTTTAAATACTGCACCCTGCCCAATCAATGCAACTACTGTTTGCCTTTTTTCTTTTTTTTTTTCTTTTTTTCAATTAGGTATTTTGTGTATTTAGTGCCGTGCTTTAAAGGGAATGATAACTGATTTCATAGCTATTGTGGTTAAAGTAAAATCTTGCTTGTATTCATGTCTGCAGCTGTTGGCTCTGCCTCTAACCTGCCGGCTGTCTGCTGACATCATGAGAAGAGGTGGTCTTAGCCAATCACAATGCTTCCTCATAGGACTGTCAAGGACGCTGATCTAGGGGAGAGCCAGCACAAGTCAAACACAACCCTGGGCAATCAGCATCTCCTCATATAGATAAATTGAATCAATGCATCCTTATGAGGAAAGTTCAGTGTCTGCATACACAATAGGCAGCACTGCCCCAGGAAACACCACTAGCTGCCATCTGAGGTAAACAATGTCTGAAAAGACATTGTTTACAGCAAAAAGCCTGAAGGTAACAAATGCAAAAAGCTGTAGTTGTTCTGGTGTCAAGTGTCCCTTTTAAGGTATATATATATTTTTTTTTTTGGGTCTTTGCACTATCTGGCACCTTGTTATATGCTCACAGAATGAATTCAACTTCGAGACTAGATCATGCGCCATGTTGACAAGACCAAAAAGGTCACAGCTGTAAAGTCTTTTTTTTTTTTTTTTTTGCGTTTTTAAACCCGTATCCATTGCTAAGGTCGCTTGCAGAAACGCAGGGTGAAGTCTGACACACGATCCCTATCTGCTTATTATATGCAGGTTATGTGCAACTGTAATTATATTAAAAATCCAAAGGATTAAATCCAGTTAATCTGCCCGGTGCTTGTCAGCATAGCATAGCATACAAAATAAAGTTGCACTCTCAGGTCTTCTTTGCAATAAAATATAACTTTTACTTGCTTACAAAATAAAAAAAAATCATGTTGCATACTGTGTGTATATTAAGCTTATCCTGATGAAAGTCTGCTTTGTCAGACTGAAACGTTTTTTGTTTGTTTTTTGTAAGCAAAAAAAGTTTATATTTTATTGCAAAGAAGACCTGAGAGTGCTACCTTATCGTGTGTGTGTGTGTATATATATATATATATATATATATATATCAGTGTGTGTGTGTATACAGTAATAGTAACCGTGCCTCACTACTGTTAGCATTGGAAAGTGGCAGATCTGTATAAATATACCATGTGAGAATGATGCTTCTGATCTGGTTTTCCATGGCTATTGTCAGTAGGTAAAGGAAACTTGATGCACCATAACCTCTCGTAAATGAAGGTGCAAAATGTACGTGTCATCTCAGCCTGCTCTCATTGCCTATTGGTACTGTCAAAATTAGGACAGATTTTTAAATGGACACAATAGGCACCCAGACAATTTCATCCAATCGAAGTGGTCTGGATGCAGTGCCCCTGTCTGTTTAACCCTGCAATGTAAAATAGTGCGGTTTCTGAGAATTATTTTGCAGGGTTTACTCCCCCTTCTAGTGGCTGTCTAGCAGACATCCACTAGGGGCACATCCTGGTCCCTAATGGAATTTTACTGAGTGAAATGATTTTGGATGACCTCACGCTTTGCATGAAGATGTCTAACGTCTTCAAATTCCCCATAGGAAAGCACCAATCAATGTTTTTCCTATAGAGAAGCTTTAATATACATGCTCACTAGGTCTCACCATTGCTGTGAAGGAGACCTAGCTATCGTCAATGGTGCCTCAACGATAGAGGTAAAGTTGGGGGGGGGGGGAAGGATTTTTTTTTTAAACCTTTACTTGGCCTACAGGATGGGGAGAGGGATATACGGTTTGTTACTCCTTCCCTTGATACTTGGCTTTATTTATATGTTTCTCATGTGCTGGATCACAGTATCTGGGAGCAGTTATTTTATTTTTTATTTTATTTACAGTGACACAGCCACTTTAAAATAGATTCTGTGATCATTTAATTCTTACGGTGCTATTTCTGTATGGGATCAATCTGTTTTTGATTAATACCTCTAAATCTTTAATCCACTTTTTTAGGATAGTCTCTCAGTTGCTGATGTTGCAGTATGGGCCTCCATCTATCCTCTTTTTACCAGTTTGGATAGCTTACCAGGTAAGCATTGTGATGATGCTAGCAATGTTTCACTTTTCTTAGTAAATGTATTTGTTTGTGGAATTTATGTATAGCAGAATCTGTCACATCTTTGTAGAGACTACTTTGACATGTATTAATGAACATTATCAATAGTTGTTTTTTTTTGTTTGTTTTTTTTTTGGGGGGGGGGGGCGCATATTATTAGTTAAATTTGAACTCTTAGGTATACTAGATCTGAACTGTGGGGCCATGAAAAAGAATTAGGAATTATGGTGGCAACTAGGACTCTGTACATGTAGAACTACCATCTATGATCTTGCAGAGTCCAAGATGCTACTCTATATTTACTTTTTTTCTAGCTCATCTTAAATATATTGTGGTTCAGATAAACCATATCACATTGCCTTTAAATAATTTGTAGACCAAATTACATACAGCATAATAAGTTATCCACCTTCTAAATGTTGGCCGCTCAATTTTTTTTTATTTTTTTTTTTAAGATAATCTGTCTTCCTTCAAGAGCTGGTTTAAAAATGTAAGCCAACTGGAAGAGTGTCAAAAGGCTGCAGAATCACTGCTGAAGGGGCAGGGGGCATCTGCGTTCAAAGCGTTTCTCCAAAAGTTGCCTACACCTGTGCTTCCAGCGGAAAAACCTGCTTGTAACGAGGTAAAGGCTCAGTACGTAATCACTGGGGATCACACTGCATTAGCTTACATTGACTAATACTGTATAGAATGGGTCCATGGTACCAATTAATTCAAATAAATGCAAGCTGTGCATGTCTATTCTATTTTCCAAACAGCATGGTCGTTCTATCAAAATATTGAGTAATCGAAAACTTTTTTCGAGCAGTATGGGGGCACATTCGTGTGCTTTGATATTGTAATATTATAGTTGCATAATTACATAGGCTGAAAAGGCCATAAAGTTCAGCCTTCCTCACTTGTAGTTTTTGCTGTTGATCCAAAAGAAGGCAAAAACCCAGTTTGAAGCTCTTCCAATTCCAAACTGGGAGGGGGGAAATACTCCTTGACTCCAAAACGGCAGTCAGATTTGTCCTTGGATCAAGAAGCTATTCCCCAACAAGTATTGAATATTACCGTATATACTCGACTATAAGCAGAGTTTTTCGGTACATTATTTTTTTTTTTTGTGCTGAAAACCCCCCACTCTGCTTATACTCGAGTCAGTGTCTGTATTATGGCAACTTACATTGCCATAATACAGACCAGGACCGACGGGCTCATTACAAGCTCGGCGGTCCTGTTGGGGGCCGGCAGCAAGCTGTAACTTACCTGTGCAGCAGCTCCGTTCAGCTCACTGTCTAAATCTTGCGACACCCGCAACCGTCAGAGCTCCGCACGGCACGCAGACCACGAGATTTAGACCGTGAGCTGAACGGAGCGGAGGAGAAGGGAGCTAACCGGAGCTGCTGCACAGGTAAGTTACAGCTTGCTCCCGGCCCCCCCCCTTGCACAGCCCATCCACTGGACCACCAGGGATTGAGATAGCCCCCCTCCCTGGCCAGGCAACAAGCAGGGAGAGGGGACAAAAAAAAACCTAAATATTAAAATAATTAAAACAATAAAACATTAACAATACTATAATCAAAATAATACAATAAAATATTAACAATACTATAATCAAAATAATATATTAACAATACTAAAATAATTAAATAAAATAACTATATTAAATGCCCTCTCCCCACACAGTTTACACACACTCTCTGCATTCATTATATATATATATATATATATATATATATATATATATATATATATATATATATATATATAATATACACACACACACACACTCACTCTTTCCCATTAGAGTTCCTCAGACTCCCCCGTCCGGCTAGGCACTCGCGGCAGGTTGCCATAGCAAAATATAAACAAATCTAACTGCGTCCCAGCCGATAATCTCGGCACCCGTTAGATTGCAAGGTCAGGTACACGATCCAGCTGCAGAATACACTTACAGAGGTCAATACTACCCGCATTTTTTCGGCGGTTTCTAGGGGAACCACACTGGGAGAGGGGTAAGCACCACCTGTATACAATACATTGTGCTAATGTAATATGTACTCTTTTGTTATTTATTTGTTGTCTTTTACAATGCACCTTATCCTGACGAAAGTTCTGTAATAGAACTGAAACGTTTAAATTTTGTGGCAGTTGCTGAATAAAAGCGAAGTTATTTTTTCACCATATTTTTCTGAAGTCCTTAGAGTGCTATTTTCTACTATCCTGTATATATATATATATATATATAATATATACACACACTCTGCATTCATTATATACACAAACTGTAAATAAATATTCAATTAATGTAATTTTTTGGGGATCTAATTTTATTTAGATTTACCAGTAGCTACTGCATTTCTCACCCTAGTCTTATACTCAAGTCAACAAGTTTTCCCATTTTTTTGTGGTAAAATTAGGGGCCTTGGCTTATACTCGAGTATATACGGTATGTTTTTGCAAGTATGCATCCAGTTGATATTTAAACATCTGTACTGACTAATAAAACCACCTTTGGGCAGAGAATTCCACATCCTTCTTGTTCTTATGGTAAAAAAAACTTTCCTTTGCCTTAGACTTAACTTTTTTTTTTTTTCAGTCTAAACATATGACTTGTGTATTATGATATTGGGACCTTTCTATGTGGGTCTAATCCTAGTTTAAGAACCTCATGTATATCTATTTATCTTTTAAAGCCGGTTCACAGACAGATCCTCTTAGATTTCCTATTGGATGCACTACGCATTTTAAATAATTCCGTTTGGTGGTTGGGTGGAGGTGGACGTTAAGCTATGAAGTTAATATGCCTGGCTAGCTTGTATGCGCCTAGCTAAGGAACAGCTAAATGTTGGCATTTCATTTGTTGTTGCCTTTCTGGCAGAGCATATTTGGACAAAAAAATCAATATAAGATTGTTTATAAGTGATCAAGCTTAATTGCATCTATTACAGAAATAGTGTGTCAAGACAAGATGAGGTGCTCTTTCTTCAGTTGTCTTAAATATAGCGTACATTGACTATATCATTAATATAGATATGTATCATTACACAATATATTGTACTCCATGCATGTAATCCTTTAATTGAAATAACAAACCATGACTGTTTACCATTAAAGGGTGCTTGTATATATGGTATGTTGGGTTCCATATATTAAGTGCATACTTAATCTGCTGGTGTTGTCGTTGATAATGCCAGATCGCATCAAATATTCATATCAAGTTTCTTGTAGGAAGAAGATGCCGCAGTGAAGACATTATCTGAGGAGGACATTGCAGCGGCTGCCGAAGCTTGGAGTAAAGATCTTACCGATGCTCCTCAGGCAAGACTAAGACAGCACCCCATGTGAGTTACTTTTGGTTTCAGACTGTGATTTTGCCCTCTTATGTACATCTTTACATTTCTTTCAAATTTCTATGTGTGTAGGAAAGTCTTACGCATTACATTATGTTTGCATTACTCTCTGTATCTAATAGCTTAGCACCATGTTTATATTTGTTTTATGTCTGCGTCCAGTAGAAACCTTCATTGTGTTTCCATTGTGATTGTGGCAGTGTCAGCACATTGTATTAATCAGCCTAATACGAATTACTATTCCTTGATGTTTACATACAGTATTGGTATGAGCACACCTTTATCAGGAAATATATATATATAATATATATTTTTGATTTACAATCACATGACTACCATTGTTTTATTTGCAGCCTTCCTGTTGATGGGGAAAGGAATATAATGATCACTAGTGCTTTGCCCTATGTGAACAATGTGCCTCACCTGGGGAATATTATTGGCTCAGTGCTAAGTGCAGATGTCTTTGCCAGGTGAGTAGAATATTGGCATTGTTTGGTGTTACTTGGCAGCTCTGTGTGATGTTGGAGTCCCACTTCCTTAAACCTGCAGGATAAAGAGCAAATGTCTTAAAGGGACATTCCAGGTTGGAGTTGACTTTATTATATAAATTATATTGGTACATTAAAACCTATGCACAAAAACGGTACATGGGGGGAAAATAATAAGTAAAGATACTGGCGTTTTGAAGTTCCTGCATTAAAAAAAGCTTTGGATAAAGCTTCTGCAATGAGATCTGCCTTTACCAAGAATTCATAATGCTCCCAAAAGGTTCTGTATCAGAACTCTCCTATTTTAACTAGCTGACTCCATCCTTTATCTGAGAAACTTGCCTATTTTGGTAGCAAAGTTATCATCATCTTAACTTGTACTTCTCACCATTGTTGTGATCACATAGTTTTGGGTGGGGACAAACTGTTTGTTAATAATCATATTTCTGACTTTTCCCATTATATTTTCTTTCTTTTCCTCCTTCCAGATACTGTCGTCTCCGAAACTGGAACACGTTGTATGTGTGTGGGACTGATGAATATGGCACAGCCACAGAAACCAAAGCCATGGAGGAAGGATTAACACCACAACAAATTTGTGACAAGTATAATGCTGTCCACACTGCGATTTACCAGTGGTTTAACATCTCCTTTGACTATTTTGGTAGGACGACTACTCAGCAACAGACAACGTGAGTAATATAGAACACTTACTATCTTGAGTGTATATCACAAGGAAATCCTAGTTTTGAATGGCCATCGTTTGCAAAAGTTTATGAGAAATGTAAAGATGTGATGCCTTTATTAACATTTTGTCAAAAATGAGCACTTGCATAAGACAAAATATCGACAACTTTTGTCCTGTGATATCTTTGTGATTGCTTTGGAATTTCAATTATACGCCAAAGCATGCTGTGAATTTTTCATAATGACTTTATCTTTACGAAAAACTAACAAAAAGGACATTAGTATTTTCTTGGTGCGGAAAAGATAATTAGGGGTCACATTCAAAATGTTTGTTCATAGTGATACTACTGTAAAGACCAAAAGATATACAAAATAAGTTACAGGAACAGTGCACACACAAATAGTTTTTTAAATCTTGTAAGGCTTTTTAAAATAACCGAACATAGGAAAAAGATATGGGAATTTGGTTACTCCATAAGGCCATGCTATGTTTAAGAACACCACCGGAGTACAAGGTGCAGCAAGATTGGTTATTAATAACACTTTCATGCAGTAGGAAAAATGCACGAAAATGTTTTCATCACAATTGTAAACAAATGTTAAAAACAATGCCGATGCATACCAATGTGAAACAATAATGAAATGCATGTTTATGTTGTACCTCTGTACCAACCCAAAATTGCAAAAAAAAAACAAAAAACCCACCACCGGAAACATGCCGACTGCAAAAGGCTCTTCTCCAATTTACATCAATTACAAATGACCTTACTTGTGTATTGACTCCCTCTATTAAATTTTTAGAAATGCACAATTTCCATGCAGGAAAGTGAGCTGCTTTCTTCTTGAGAAAGACTGTAGAAACTAGCCCTGCTTAGCGGTTTTAACTTTATTTCCATCTAGGATTGCCCAGGACATCTTTCATCGTCTCCTTCAAAGGGACTTCCTTCTGACAGACACCGTGGAGCAACTCCGCTGTGAAAAATGTCAGAGGTTCTTGGCTGATCGTTTTGTGGAAGGAATCTGCCCATTCTGCAAGTATGAGGAGGCCCGTGGTGATCAGTGTGACAAATGTGGGAAACTCATCAATGCTGTTGAGTTAAAGGTAAATTTTATATATATAATTTTTATTTTTTTTATTTTTTTTATACCTTTTTATACCTTTTCTTCCCAGAAGTGGGAAATAAAAACGTATTTGATATAAATTTTTAAATAAATGGATTGGTGTTATTTTCTCATGACCTTCTGGGTTTTAATGTCGAATTTGTAAATTCTAGAATCCACAGTGCAAAGTGTGCAAGGAAACTCCAGTAATTAAATCATCCAAGCATCTGTTTTTAGACCTCCCAAAGGTATGTGGTTTTATTTTTTTTTTTTTATTTTTATTTATTTTCTTTAAATTTCAATATTTTTTTTTAATCTAATCTGCCTATCTATTCCTACCTACCTGATGTTGGACATAACAATTCAATATTTGTGGGTGCTAGGATCACCTTAGAAATCAGTAAGTGTTAATTTTGTGGAATTGCTACATTGATCTTGGCTGTTCTTTACAGTAAACCTTCTAATTCCTGTTTTGATTAATTGCTGTACATATTACTGTCCTCATTCTATTTGAAGCAATAGAAACCATTTTCTATTATAGCTGGAGGAACGTTTACAGAAATGGCTGGACCAGACCTTTGCAGCTGGAGACTGGACTGCAAATGCTCGCTATATAACCCGCTCCTGGATCCGTGACGGCTTGAAAGCACGGTGCATCACGCGAGATCTAAAGTGGGGAACTCCTGTGCCACTTGATGGTTTTAAAGACAAGGTCCCTCTTCCTTTCCTTCATTTCTGCCTATGCAATTTCATGGTCTACACAAAGCAAAAAAACAATAATTGTACCGTATATACTCGAGTATAAGCCGAGTTTTTCAGCACATTTTTTGTGCTGAAAAACCCCAACTCGGCTTATACTCGAGTCAGTGTCTGTATTATGGCAATTTACATTGCCATAATACAGACTGGAGGCTGGCAGCGAGCGCTTACCTCTCCTTCAGCTCCTGTCAGCTCTCTCCTCCTCCGCGCCGGTCCTGTCAGCACCTCAGTCAGCTCCCAGTGTAAGTCTCGCGAGAGCCGCGGGGTCATAGTGCAGCTCTCGCGAGACTTACAGTGTGAACTGAGAGAGGAGCTGCACGGACCGGCGCGGAGGAGGAGAGAGCTGGCAGGAGCTGCAGGAGAGGTAAGTAACAGCTCTGACAGCCCCCCTCCTCCCCCCACTGAACTGCCAATGCCACTGGACCACCAGGGAAGGAGAGCCCCCCTCCCTGCCATGTATCAAGCAGGGAGGGGGGACGAAAAATAAATAAATTAATCATATATAAATAAAAATAATAATAAAACAAATAATATAACCAAAAATTTAAATATTAATTAATAATATATAAATATAAATAAAAAAATAATTAAAAAAATAATATAACCAAAAAAATTAAAATAATAAATAATAATATATATTTTTTTTTATAAAAATGCCCATCCCCCACCAAGGCTCTGCAACACAAACACACACTGCACTCATACACACACACTGCATTCATACACACACACACTGCACTCATACACACACACTGCACTCATATACACACACTGCACTCATACATACACTGCGCACTCATACACACACACTGCATCACACACGCACACACACTGCACTCATAAACACACACACTGCACTCATACACACACACTGCATTCATATACACACACACTGCATTTATATACACACACACTGCACTCATACACACACACTGCACTCATACACACACACTGCGCACTCATACATACACTGCGCACTCACACACACACTGCATTCATCATATACACACACTGTAAATAAATATTCAATTAATATAATTTTTTTTAGGATCTAATTTTATTTAGAAATTTACCAGTAGCTGCTGCATTTCCCACCCTAGTCTTATACTCGAGTCAATAAGTTTTCCCAGTTTTTTGGGGTAAAATTAGGGGCCTCGGCTTATATTCGGGTCGGCTTATACTCGAGTATATACGGTATTTCTTTTTATAGGTGTTTTACGTGTGGTTTGATGCTCCTATTGGATACATTTCTATAACTGCCAACTATACAGATCAGTGGGAGAAATGGTGGAAAAATCCTGAACAGGTGATCACTTCACTTATTTCTAAGATTTTTTTTTTTTTTTTTGTAGTTTTCTTTAAATCAGGGCTGGGTGGACACATTAAAAGAAAACAAATATTTGTGTTTGTCAGTGAGTGTCTGTCTGTTTTGGTTGTTGACATTTTAATTTGAAACCTGTTTGGTTTGATTTCTGCGAGGGATAAATGAGAAGATGTCAGTTTACCTTTTTGTGCAGATTTCATAAACGTTGTTTTTTTGTTTTTTGTATTTTTACTTCTATCCTCTGATTTAGGTCCAACTTTATAACTTCATGGCAAAGGACAATGTCCCATTCCATAGTGTGATCTTCCCTGCTTGCTTGCTGGGAGCCGAAGATAACTATACATTGGTCAGCCATCTCATAGCCACAGGTGAGATCAAAGATTAGAAATTTGAAGAGGATATGTTTTGAAATTTATGACTTACAGAATTGGATACTAAAGTGTTTTAACTCCTTATAACATGTCTAAAATCTGAACTTTCTTGTGACTAGAATACTTAAATTACGAGGATGGGAAATTCTCAAAGAGCCGGGGAGTAGGAGTGTTTGGTGATATGGCAAAGGACACTGGAATCCCAGCTGACATCTGGAGGTTCTACTTGCTCTATGTGCGACCTGAGGGCCAGGACAGTGCATTCAGCTGGGGTGACCTGATGCTGAAGAACAACTCAGAACTACTTAACAACTTGGGCAACTTTGTAAACCGGTATTGTTGAGCAATGTTCTATGAGTGTAACTTTTTAACTGAAGTCCACAAACTGTGACTATCATGAGTTAGAACTAGTATGACACGTTTTTATGTGATATTCTGGCTTTTATTTCATGCTTTACATAAGTGCGACGCTTGCACTAAATTTATATTGGATTATAGAGCATTTTTAAAATGCATTGCTACATTTCCCAGAACCCATTTTCTTGCAATTTTTTTTTTTTTCCCTAAAAACTTTCAAATGAAAGTTCTGAGGTTTTTTATTTAAATTTTTTTTTATTATTTATTTATTTTTTTTTAAACCACCTTGACAGACATGTTTGCATTGATGCTGCTGGAAGTAATTGGTCTTTAGTCATTAGAGTTCAGTTTCCCTTTAAATTATACAAAATAAGTCCATTGTTTAGGTACACCCATCTTAGATTCTTTTGTTCAAACAACTGATCTATTTGCACTAAAAGCAAAGTCTCTGGTGCACTGAAGCTCTTGTGTAGAGCATATACTTTACTGTCCTTATTTTACTCAAGTGTTCTCTACGGCCTCAAAGCCTTATCACTTAGTGCGGTATGTTCAGTCACTATAAACTTTTGTAAGATCCACTGTATCAAAATTGAGCTGACATTCTAGGAGTAATAACTTAATTTTGTGTGAACATACACATGCAAATGTTAGAATGCCGAAATGGAAATTTTCTCTCCACTGCAGAGCCGGTATGTTTGTACAGAAGTTTTTCAATGGCTGCGTTCCAGAAATGGAGCTAATATCTGAGGATAAGAGGCTGGTGGCCCAGGTTGCTGCAGAGCTCCATCAGTACAACCAGCTCCTGGAAAAAGTCCGGTATGACCAATGGGGAGGATGACATTCCGTATTATTAAACTTGAGTTTGTAATCTGATTTTTGGTAGAAGAAAGCCATTCCAAAAATATATATAATTCTTCTTTTTGAATTTCAGTATCCGGGATGCTTTGCGGTGTATTCTGAACATCTCTCGTCATGGAAACCAGTATATTCAAGTAAATGAACCATGGAAATGTATCAAAGGAACCAAAGAAGAGCAGTAAGTTTTGCTTGTGTTTAACTTCTCTCTCTCTCCTTTCGTATTGTTATATGCATTTTTTTTTTGTCTGCAGAACTAATCATGCATCTAATCAGCCTTTAATTTAATTTTTTTTTTTTAACCTTTATTTCAAGTCAGCATAACTTTTATCATCATAGTTTATTTTATTTTTTTATATAGTTCCTTTTACTATTTCAACTAGAAAACTGTTCCAGTTTTCTAACAGCCTGTCTGTGTTCTAAAGATTTCATGCATCCACATAGTAGAGTTACTAAATAGACATGACTTGTGCCATTGTGTGACCTTCATTTTTAGGCCTACAACCAGAATTACAGTGACTTATCAACTAATCAATGCTGTGTTTTGGTTGCAAAGCTTGAAAGCTCAGAATCCAGTTAAATTTCTGTACTTGGCCTTTATGCTTTATATAATGCCACTCTTCTTATGGCAGGAAACGCGCAGGAACAGTAACTGGAGTGGCTATCAATATGTCGGCCCTGCTGGCCGTCATGCTGCAGCCATACATGCCAACAATTGCTGGCATCATTCAGGAGCAGCTGCTGGTGCCTAAAGAAGTTAATGTTCTGACCAATGACTTCCGCTGCACACTACCAAGTGGACACCGTATTGGCAATGTGAGTAAGACTTATTTTACGGAAAATAAATACAGTCCTGTGTCTTATGAAAGTGAAATATGGAAAAATGTTTAATAAATTATGCGTTCCGGGTAATATGCAAGAAATTACATTTTTTTTTTTTTTAGTCTTGTACATCTGCAGCCAGAACAGGACCAATGAGTTATATGCTATAGATCTCATTAAAAATTAAAAATACTTTTGACTTGTAAACAAATATAATCCTGCACTGCTTCTTAGTTCCCCCATCTTGCCATGCTTTATAGGTCAGGGCTGCATGTTTACCTGGACTATGGTTGGAGATTTCATATTCTTCAGATTGTAGTGTTTAAAGGACACCTCATCCCCAAAACTACGTTTAGCTCTTTTTAAAGATCGGCTTCCATATACATATAAACATCCACCTCAAATAGGCCGCTAACTCCACCATGCTGAAAACGCAAAAAAATGTTTTGGCACCTTACAATTAAACAAGAAAATATGACAAGACTACTAATATAATCAAAATAATATGCATTAAATTAAAGTCTATTTAAAAAAAAAGGTCCAGCAAGTGAAATCCTTCACAAAAACATGCAAATAATAATTGAAAAAGTGTTCAGTTACTTGTGGGGTTTTCTGCAGCGTCAGTCCCAAATGAATATCTTTCACACTCCAGTCTAAAATAAAAACCTAAAACAACAACAAACAGCAGTTCTGGAATAAAGCGCAATGCAAGAGCCTTTTAATGCAGTATTTATTGAAACCACTCAAATGAATGGGCAAATAACTTACAGTTACAATACCTCTACACTGGCACTAATTAACCAATGGAATGTGTGGATAAAATACACAAATATTTGCTGTGTAGACCTCGATCTCCAGTAATCGCTCCTTCTGTCCTGTCACAGCTGTGCACGCCAGCAGTATGAGATCCCCAGAGTGACACTAATATTGTGTGCAAATGGGTTTTTTGGTACTTTGTTCAATTCCTATGCCTTTTGAAAGTCTACACTTGTTTACTTGATCACCTTACTGAATAATCCCGTGATACAGCGATATACCGCATACGCATCCCACTTAAAAATACTCCTTTCTTATAGATACAACTTGCTGGTTACATGAACAATTTACACACTTTGTTTCAAATTGTGATTTGAAGTGTAGCCTCTTTGAGCTTCTTTTCTCTACAATATTGTCCATCATAAATAATAGCTAAACACCTTAACTATATCTATCTATCTAACCTGTCTTGCCTTTAAGTTATAACCTGGTAAACCTGAATAGACGCCACAAAAAGTGATGGAAAATAATTTGACATTGTGATCACAATATTAAAAGGGGTAATCTATATATTTGTGTTTACCCCATCCCAGTTCATTTTGCAAAACAATAGAAAAACATTTTTTGGGGGGGGGGAATATATGCCAGATATATGTGAAAATTTTTCAGTGCAGATTATTCATCTGGCTTCATTACAACATTTTATGGCATATATTCAGAGTGCCAGAGGCATAATCAGTGCGTTGCCTTCTCTTCTGGTAGTCAAGTAGTTAAACTGCATTAGAGTCAGACCACAAATAAAAATAGAGCCACGTGTTGGCTTACGTGCTGCTGCAATGTTTTTCCTCTCTGAATTCCCTGCTGACGTTGTTCCAGCTACAAGATAGCTGAGCCCAGTGTCTTATGCGGAAGCCATGTAATGTGGCTTGTTGTAATCATCTGTACATTGCAACATCTTGTACTGAGAATTGCACCAATCTTGTGTTGTTCTATGCATTCCCCAGGTGAGTCCATTGTTTCAGAAGCTGGAGAATGACCAGATTGAGTCCTTGAGAAAGCGCTTTGGAGGTGGACAGGTGAGATGTATGAGCCAATTAATATAAATGGCAAGAATTGTCAAATTCCTACGGGACACCAGAAAATAGAAGCAATTTCCACAAGTTCGTTTAGTAAATTCTTGCACGTTACATATAAATCTGTCTTCATTATATTAATAAATGTAGTGCTGGCATATGTGCCTAGGTAAGTGCTGTATTGTAAAATGATCTAATTCCCGGTTATTGCTAACATATTCTACACAATCTGTATGGAAATAACATCACATTAAAGGTGTTATATTGTTTACATGCTGCATCGTGTCGCAGGTTTAGTAATTGATGAGCAGGTGTATGGTTGCATATCTGATAACCAGAAAAATATTAGGATGATGTACAAATATGCCGCACATCTGATGTGATAGTCTATCTGTAACAGTGGCGACTATCGCCCCTTAATTGTGGGCTCTCACTTTATTCTTATCCTTTATCTGTTCATCAGCCGGATGGGGACAATTCTGGGCTACAGGTAAATGTACTGCATGTGTAGTCTGCATTACAAATGCTGCATTTGCATGTGTATATGTGGATATTTCAATGCAGATTTGATGGCTTTTTTTTGTGTCCTCCATATAAAGTTATTGACATGTAAATGTAGTAGGGATTGGTTTTACCTTGGGGCTTCTCTTCCTGGTAGCATTGGTAACTTAGCACTGGTGTTTGATATCCGTCAACAGAAGGGAAAATTGTAAGATTCAGATTTTTCCCTTTGTATGCCTAGGTTTTATATTTTTTACAGTAACTGAAATGCTTGAAATGAGGACATTTTGGCTAGAAATAAAATGAGAAGAATTGTATTTATGAAAAATCATTTTTAAATGCTGCGTAAAAGTGAAATTATTTTTAAATCTGCATTTAGAAAATGTCTGCAATGTCTGATTGTGATTTTACTGTAGTGTTCCCTTCATTGAGGTAACCTTAGCATTAGACATATTTGCCTTCCATGCTCTGCATGTTTCTTTGTGGTTAGCTAATATTTAATGATTTAAAAAAATAAATAAAAATTGCTCCAAAAATTTAAAAATGGCCTAATGAAGATTTAATTTCTAATTACATACTGCTATCTCCAAAAGACATTTCATTTGAGTCTAACTGCTTCTTAGCTTATATTGTATACGGTCATGGTTATTCACTAAAGGGAGAATTACAAGTAAACTCGAGGGAATTTGAAATTCATGGTCAAAATAGCAGAACCAGAAAGTCAACTATGCTTTCAGTTCGACTACTCTGGCCTTAATTTCCAAATTCACTTGGAATTTTCCCTATAGTGAATAAATCCAAAGTTTATATGGCAAGTCATCTCCCCAAACCTTTTTGCAAATGTGTATATACAAGCAATACTGTGAAAATATTCTACTTCCTGGAATTCATTCCACACTGTGAAACCAGCAGCCGTTTTGTGTATTTGTTTGGTCTTCTCTAAAGAGCTGAACATTTTTGTTAATTTTCACAGGAGAAGGCAGTTCCCAAAGTACCAGCACCCACAGTGGCACCTGAAACCTCTACGGCTGGTGATCCCCAGAAATTGAAGGAGTTACTACAGCAGGTAGAAAAGCAGGTACGTACGGTGATTTAATTGGCAGAATAACAGAGAATTAATTATGGGTAATACATAGACAAACCAATTTTACTGCACAAGATGAAGTGGTTTGGGTGCCTGTAGTGTCCCTTTTGAAGGAACACCCCAAGCACAATAACCACTACTGTCTGCTGTAGTGGCTTATTGTAGCAAAGTGCCCTGGCAAACCTTATTATTAAGGAGTCCCAACTGTTTTAGAATGGTTGATTTGACCAATTTCTGTTGAAATCTGCACTTTTATTAAAATGGCGGGGGGGAGGGGGGGGGAACAAAAAAAAAAACCACACTCTTCCCACAAAGCATTTCAACAAGCCAATGTGTTTTAGCAGTCTGGAGTGTTCCTTAGACATATTCCCAACAAAACTGATTGTCGGTGGAAGAAATCTTGGCTCCTGCTGTAACCCAGAGATAGTCTTTATAAGTTGTTGTAAACCCCATGTATCCATACTGCGTGGTGTCAGTGAGAGGCTGGTGGTAATGGAGAAGAGTATGGTTTTTAATACCATTTGGTCACTTGAATATTGCGGTGAATTTTGGAGATTAGATATACCAAATAAATTGGCCACCCAATGTATATTTTGTTTTCGTATAAATCTACATACTATTAGATTTTTGTGAGGCAAGACTTGAGGTTAGTATCAACAGGTAATTGTAATTAATTAACATCAGTTTCTTTACTATTCCAGTGGAATGCTGTAAAGAGAATGTCAGTGGAAATTGACCATTTTTTTAATTGTTCCTTACACCAGGGTTGCCCAAAAGGTAGATCCCCACATGTTGTTGAACTACAACTCCCTTGATGCTTTGCATGCCTTTAGAATGACAAAGCATCGTGGAAGCTGTAGTTTAAAAATAGCTAGAGATCTACCTTTTGGGCAACCCTGGTGTAAGGAACAATTTAAAAATTGCTAATTTCTACTGTCATTCTACTGACATTCATACTAACATGTTGTTAATTACAATTACCTGTTTCCAGCCCTCTATTTTTATTTTATTTTTTACAATGTTAGACTGATATGATATACTTTAAATATTTACTGACCTCATTGTTTGTTCATTGGTACTGGAACTTAACCCCTTAAGGACCAAACTTCTGGAATAAAAGGGAATCATGACATGTCACATGTCATTTGTCCTTAAGGGGTTAAAGGACCACTATAGGCACCCAGACCACTTCAGCTCAATGAAGTGGTCTGGGTGCCAGGTCCATCTAGGATTAACCCTTTCTGCTGTAAACATAGCAGTTTCAGAGAAACTGCTATGTTTACCTATGGGTTAATCCAGCCTCTAGTGGCTGTCTCATTCCGCGCTTCTCACTGTGATTTTCACAGTGAGAAGACGCCAGCGTCCATAGGAAAGCTTTGAGAATGCTTTCCTACGGACTGGCTGCGCGCGCGGCTCATGCCGCGCATGCGCATTCAGCCGATGACGGGGAAAGGAGGCGCAGAGAATACAAATGTAAAATGTGTTTAACCCCTTCCTCACCCTAGAGCCCGGCGGGAGGGGGTCCCTAAGGGTGGGGGGGACCTAGAGACCCTGTTTTGAATTAGTAGCACAATGCCAACACATACTGTGATCAAATCCTATTTTAAAAAGTTGAGTGAAGCAGTACCTCCTGACATGCTGACCCACTACAAATGGCAAAGGTGAATGCTTAGAAATTGTTATATGGTAACTGCTGTCAGACATTTTGAGAAAGACCATAAGCAATTCTTGGTTTTCGTTGATTCATTTGTAGTCTTGCTTTTCACATAAACTGTAAAATATAAAAGATGTTGGCACTTATGTTGACCCCACACTGAAAATGATTGAAAAGTAATAATGATTTAAAAACAATTTTTTTTTATTTTTTTTAAAGTAGGTGTTTTTCCAAAGGTTTCATACAATTAATTTAATTTTTTTTTCCCCACCAATTTTGGTAGGGTAACCATGTGAGAGAATTGAAGAAAGGGAAAGCTGAAAAAACTGTGATTGACAGTGAGGTACAAAAGCTTCTCTCTTTGAAGAAAGAGCTGGCGCTGGCGGAAGGGAAATCACCCGAACCTCCAACACAGAAAGGCAAGAAGAAAAAGTGATGACCCAATGTTTACATCCAGGAAACAAACATTAAATGAGCCACTTGCTCCTGAGCCCAGGCAGAACTCGTGGTAGAGCTGAAGAGGAGAAAGAGATATGGGAACACTTTTAAATAAATATATTTGTGGTCACTTTTTATTTTTGTTTTCTTATTTTCATTGAAGCGCTACCCATCCATAGTTACTGCTGTTCAGAAAACAAGAAGCCGTTTTATGAGCTGTAATGAATTGCAAGGGATTGCATGGCTTGCCGAGAGCCTCGGTGTATTTCTGACTAGGAAGTCTGTAGCTTTAACAGCTAAATAGAACAGTGTTATGGTAACACCAATTACCTACTCATTGTACTGTGCCCATGGGATTCTATCTAAAGGCAGCCTACCATACATTCCTAATGACACTGTATCTTCACTGCAAGTGATGCAGTCACTATGGATACAAAATAGCTTGCATCATTCATAACAAACTACTCCAATGCCACACTATTCAGTCAGTGTGTTTTAGCATTTAACGCACTGTACAGTTTAGGTTATTGCAAGTCTAATACAGCTAGTGCTACAAACTATTCTGGAACTACATATCCCACAAAGCTTTGCAAGCTTGGTCTGTAAATAGCAATCCATCCCACTGGTATTGGATCACCCATTTTAGAAAATCTGTTTTTTGTTTTATTTAAATTCTTTATTTTTGTTGTGCATTGCAAATGAAACATAGACATTGCAAAGATTAGCATTGAATAATGTCAATAAGAGGTTGCTAGATATGGCTGAAGTACTGCACAATTTTTGAAAAAGGTGAACGGTAAGACAAGTCGCTTATGTAACGGATTAACAAGATCATATAGCAGGGTAGGAATTAGTGAGTAGAGTAGATCAAACATGATTAAAATTAAGCACATGCTAGAGATACAAACATCAGAAGCGGTGAGCAGATGGATGATACCGGTGATTGCATTCCATGGAAGGAAGATTGCAGAGACAGGACACCGGGTAAACATGTACAGCAAGCATGTCAAACTCAGTCTGGCACGGGCCACAAACAAGTTTTAAGTTTATGTGGGCTGAAAAAAAAAAAAAAACCAAAACCTTAAATTTTCATAAAAATTTAGGTTTATTTAAAAAAAAAAAATACAGTATAAAAGAAAAAAAACCGCCTCTACTAAATCCTAGTTCCCCTTCCCCCCTCCCTACCACCCTGTGCCAAATCTGAGCCTCCATGCACCTACAGGTACTCCACTGTCCAGTTGCAGCCAATGCAACACTGACTGACAGACACACTTTCAGGGCCGGCCTTAGGGTTGTGCAAGCACAGGGGGCATTCTGCAACCGACAACTCACACATGGCCGGCTGGGATTTAAAAAAATTGCGGCGGGGGCGTAGCTAAAAGTGCTGGATAACTGCTGCAGGGGAAGGAGTCCCTGCTTCCACACCAAATAGTCTCCGGGAGCTGCACTGCCTCCACAATGAACAGAGGTAACTATGTGTGATTGTCAGAGTGAGTGTGGCTGTCTGACTGTGTGTGTATGTGTGGCTTGCTGTAATTGTGTGTGTTTGCCTGTGTGTTTCTGCCTGATGCTGTGTATGTGACTATCTGCATGTGGTGGATTTGACAGTGTATATGTATAACTGTGTGCAAAAAATATACACCTGCATACACACACAGGCCTAAATGCATGTTTTTATCTGAATTAAATAACCATCACACACAGCCAATAAACCCAGCACAAATATCACATACAACCAATACATGCATAACACACACTGTTAATACACCCATTACAAATATCACACAGTCATAACAGACAACACAAACATTACATCATACATGGATGACGGGGGGGCACTGTGAAGATTTTTCGCACAGGGCGCCTAAAGGCCGGCACTGCACACATTTACACATTCTTGCACTCCCATTTAATTTGTTCCTTACCTTTGGGTGCTGGTGTGGGGATCTTCTGTCTGGAGATCTCTTTCCTGCTCCCTCGTGCTGGCGCACGCGAGGGTGCAGTGAGAAGCAGGAACATTGAGCTCCCTCGCTGCATCCACTGTCCCTTCCTCCCCGGCTGGGTAAGTTTTAGCATAGTAGGCACCTGCAATGTGGGGAAAGCATGTGCCTACTCTATAACACCAGCATTTACTGGCAGCTTGCCAGGCTGCAAATATGGTCCTTGTGGGCTGCAAGTTTGACATGCTTGATGTAGTTTGTTAGCCTATGCCCTTGGGGTATACATCACAGTCCACACCCCTTCTGCCCTGAGAGTGTATAACAGTCCTGCAAATTGATAAGCAGACCATGGGCAAATGAGGGGACCCAGGCAACGCAAGTAGGAAGAGGCTTTTGTACTGATGTCTTCTCTTAGGTCAGTATGCTTTGCGATAACCAAAGTGCCTAATCCACTTTGATTTCCCACTCTGGTTTAGTCACGATTCACTGTGAATCCCTCTACAGGAAGCCCTGTCCCAGCAATGAAGAACATCTGCCAGGGAGGACAGAGGCAAGGTAGGTATTGGTGGCTCACCTCCTGATGCTGTCATGCGGATCCTGAGCCTGGACCAGCAATCCTGCGAACACTGGGTGTGTGCCCCTTTTGGAAAGGGTAACGTGGCCTAACATCCACCACAGCTCTGAAGATGCAGGCAGAGTTAACCCCCACTGGCAGGGGGAGGTGGGGGGAAGGGTAGTGGGAGACCTGCAGTCAGGGAACAGGTGGAGGGAATGGCCACGTTCCCCTCATCCTCCTCTAGTGCTGCAGGTCCACCTCACACAATTGGACACACTCCACCAAGAGCCCACAACAGTGTGAGTTGAGTGATGCAGGCAGTAAGCTTTTGCTGCAGAGCCCCCAGTATATGCCTCCTATTTCTATAGTGGTCAGACTCCAGAAAACCTCAGTTTTAGGATAGCTAAAACCAAGCCTATTCATTGGGTGGAATTTTTCACTGGTACAGAGAAGGATCCTAAAACCACTTTTTCAGTAGTCTGATAGGTCTGTGAATAGAGGAGCATAAAGTCTTATGATCCCTCCTCCCACTGCATGTCACCCTAGAATAGAGTTAACTTGAAAGGATTGTGGGAAGATTGATTTTAATCCAGGTAAAAATGTGGAGCTGGGAATTACATTTGAGTTAAACACCGCAACATTTGTTTTAATTAACCTCTAGAACAGGGATAGGCAGCCTTCGGCACTCCAGATGTTGTGGCCTACATCCTCCATAATGCTGGTAAAGCATCATGGGAGGTGTAGTCCAAAACATCTGGAGTGCCAAAGGTTGGCTATGCCTGCTCTAGAAGGTGTGAAAGAATTGTGAAACCTCCATGTACAGTTCTAGGCTTTGCATTTTAAATGTGTAATGTCATAAGGGTGGAAGTGCAAGGGTTCTGCAGTACCTTTGAAAAGGAAACAATTGCTACATGTGCAGACTATGCAAGTTATCCCCATTTCACTCGTCTTAGCCATAAAGGGTCACTCTACACATCATCCCTAGATTACATTGTAGTGGTTACAGTGCTGTTAGTCCCATGACTTCATCCCACAGACAGCGTTGTGTTTTTGCAGGGTCTACAGATGCCTTTGGTACAGCTTCTTCAGATTGCTTTATCTACAGCAAGCATGTCAAACTCAAAGTCTGGCATGGGCCCCATAAACAAGGTTCAAGTTTGTGGTCCGCAGGAAAAAAAAAAAAAATCTTAAAGTTTTCATAGCAATGTAGGTTTAATTGTAAAAAGTACAGTATAAAAAAAAAAAACATCCCGCTCTACTAAATCCCAGTTCCCTCCCCCCCCCCAATGCCAAATCAGAGCCTCCATGCACACCGCTGTCCAGTCACAGCCAATGACACATCATTTAATTTATTGTTCCCCAACTTTGGGAACTGGTGTGGGATCTTCTGTCTGGAGATCTCCTTCCGGCTACCTCACGTGGTTTAGTGATGCAGGAGAATATGACGTCATTCCGGTGCCCGGCTTCACTAAAGAGCATGCGATGATGCAGGAACCCTGAGCTCCCTTGCTGCATCCACTGTCCCTTCCTCACCAGCCGGGTAAATTTTAGCAGAGTAGGCACCTGTAACATGGGGGAAAAGCAGGTGCCTACTCTGCTATAACACCAGCATGTACTGGCAGCTTGCTGGGCCACAAAGATGGTCGTTGTGGGCCGTGAGTTTGACATGCTTGATCTAGAGTCAGCAACACTTTAAAAACACATTCTATACAGTTAAATGGGCATGATCTTTTAGCTGAGTGACCTTAGTCACAGCATAAAATACACTTTTATTGAACAAAAAAAAAGTGCTCATTTGGTTATGCCAGGGGATGACCAAGGTGCTGCTAATAATTATTTTAAAGATGTTAAGCTAGCAGACAGTTGGAGACTCCTACAATCTGTATATTGTAGATATCCATCCATAAATTCTCTCTTTTGCAAGCATATATCCTGAGTGTTTTGCTGGCAATTGGGCCTTGAGAATCCTGCTTAGACCCTTTCTGCAGTAGCCACTATGAGGAGGTTCTACACAGGATACAAGTCTGCACATATATTGCTGGCTTAGAAGGGTGAGACCACCAGAGTGAACATTTTAAGGAAGAAAGGTTTTCTGCAGATTGTGGTAGTGGACGTGATTTTCTTGTAAGTCACACAATTGTTCATTTTATAAAGTCTGTTTCTCTGTTGGGCGCAAGTTTAGGCAGTGTACTTTCAGTAGGCAGGCTGCAAGCTATGGTTTCATTTGGTATGTGCGGTTGTCTTAAAACTTGCAGCAGAGTTCTAGAATGCATTTATACTCCACAGAATGTGCAATATAATTAGGTTAGGTTTTTATTATATAAAGATAAATACTAGACAGAAGTTCTATGTAACTGTTTTGCAAGTGTTAAGACCAGTTAACCAGAACCAAGAGTACGTCTTAAGTTTAAATTGTTATTTGCACTGCTAGTCAATGTCTTGTGCAGACAATTCCTAGCATGCACTCAAACATTTGCAATCTGTTGAAGGAAGAATTAGAGTAGCAGTTTTCAAGCCAGCCCATGTTTGATATATGTTGAAACCTAGATAATCCCTAATTTTGGAACTGTGTGGTCACCAAGTACTGGAGCGCAAACTGGAAAGGGAAAATAAACCCCAGGTTTTAGTTAACTGGTCTGCTTTAGATACAGTTTGCATGCTATCCAATAAACAGTTTAAACATACACAAGATGTAGGTCCCTAAATTAAATAGCTAGCCATTAGTCCTGGTTTTGTTTTAGATAACAAAATAAAAACTGTACAAGATCCATCACGGTGAAGGACAGTGTCCATGCAGACATCAAAACATTCTAAACGTGGTTCATACCACTCAGATGAGTCTTTGGTCTTAAAGTTAAACCCTTTTAAGGTTCACCATCCTTTCGATCAAATCTTTCCTGGTTTTCTCCACTTCTACACTTAGACGTTCAATCTCAGCTTTCAATCGTTCATTCTCAGCCACCAGATAGGACACTTTCTTGTCATTCTCTTGTTCTCGCTCCTTCACACGAACCTTCCCTCCTCTTTGTTTACTGCTCCTCTTTCTCTTTGTGCCACACAAACTAGTGCTGGATTCCTCATCCTCTGTGTGGATTTGGGATGGAGAGCTGCTGTAACAAGGTTCTGGTTCAGATGCTGCACTCTGGACATTTTCAGTCTCTTGAGACTCAGAGGGAGCAATATTGTCATTAAGGGGCACAGGGCTAATAAATTCCAAAGCCTCAGTGGGAAGCTGGTCTACAACAGCTTCTAAAGCAATAACATCTTCATCACTGAACTCCACAGATAAAGGACAGTCTGTCTCAAATGTCCATTGATAAAGGTCATTGGAAGCATCCACTGGCATCTGCCCATTCTGAAAACAAGAAGTTTAACAGGTAAGCCAATCAGCCAAGCAGTTTGGAGTTTCAAAATAAAATTATGGATCTAACTTTTGCATTACTAATTACTGCACTCCAATATTAAATAGGGCATTTCACCAAGTCAGGTTAATATTTATAAAAGCACAAGTTAGATATCTAGAGACAAACAAGCCAAGATTATAAGGTTATAAAGCCAAATAAATTAGATTATTTTTACTCTGGGGATACATTTTATTTTTTTTTTTAAATAAAACAATTTTTATGCCAAGGTCCATGACCACTTTAGTGTTCTGAAGTAGCAACTGAACTTGGAGCAACGCTAGTCACTCCCAGTTCACTAAACAATGATCTGGGCTGGATATAGACTTATCTGTGGTATACAAACCGTACACTCAGGGCACAGGATCTCACACTGAATAATCATACTTTGATAATGTAAGCTAACCTGCTCTTCACACCCAGCAGCTTGGAAAGAGTCTGCATTCTTTATGTCTGAGCACAAGATGTCCTGTAGATCTTCATACCAGGCTTCCAACTCCCATCCGGCCAATGTGCCCATGGGGCCACAGCAGGGCAGAGATTCTGCCATCATGGTTTGGCAGTCTTTGCACAAGAGACTTCCTAGGAAGGAAACAGATGAATGCACATTACAAGCCAGAGTTATAACCCACATGTAGTGGTTTATTTTTATTTTTTAAAAAGACACCTAATGTCCCTGCAGCCTCACCATTTTTTTGCAGCACTTGCCACCTGCCCGTTACACACCCTCCCAACATTCCCTATAAAGAGATCTAATGTTTAAACTTCCTTTACGGCAGTGTAAGTTAGAATGTCTTATCTCCTGCTCTGTTATTAGCCTGTAGTATCCTTACATTGGATTAAGTTTTAATTAACAGAGCAAGCGATGAGAGCATCTAAAATAAAAAACACTGCAAAAAGACAATATAATTGAAGTTAAATATTTCTCATGTTGGCTGTGTGAAATGCAGCCACGGCTGCATAAACCAAAACCAGTGATTTAACTATTAAATAGCAGAGGACTGAGCAGCGAGACTGCAGGGGCATGATCTACACATGAAAACTGCTTTAAACCAGCTAAAGTTGTTTTAATGATTAGAGTATCATTTTAAACATTAAGGATATGTTAACAGGACTTGCAGTTATAAGTGGAAATTAAACAAATCCGTTAACTCTCAATTTCATAGACACAGCAAGTATCAGTGTTACAGAAATACAGAAGCACAATTGCAGTCTTGCCTGAAGTAAGGTTTGCTTGCTGAAAGCCCACATTTCCAAGAGTTATTGGATGTTGTATACATTTGATTACAACCCCTCATGGAATCAATGAGGACCAACTTGCAAATGCATGCATACCCATCTGTGCCGCAACTGGAAGCTCATTCACTTGAAAATGGGGCCAGCTCACAGAAGTAAACTGAATTCCTCCAAGCACTGGGAGGTAGCAGATTGGGATGGGTCACCCGACTGTAGTGGGTGACTGTTCCAAGGTAGGGGCTGACACTAAGACTGTACACAGCTGTCCCCCTCCCATTCTACGGGACTAATTTCTAGTGCCAATTCACAGCACAAGTGACTTATTTGCTGCCCAAGGACAGTTCCCATGTATCCCTGGATACCGACAGAATAATGTTGGATGGTGCAATAGACCCTCGATATCAGATCTGTTGGTGGTGGATTTGAAATCTCAGCTTTGTGGTCCTAAAGGAAATGCAGGCTATAGAAGCATTTAAATAAAGCTCAATGGTACATAAAGCACCAAAGCTATTCCCATCTTAATGTAGTTTGAGGTGTAGATGCCATCTTGTTTTATTACGGCACTAGGAAAACCTTGATTTTCAAGGTACTTCCTGTTCATGCTGCCTGAATATGGCTAATGATTCTGATGGGATTGAGAGTGGCAATTGCAGTTTACAGATTGTAGTCTGCAATGCTTCTCTATGAAGCAACTGATTGGAGATCACCAGAATTGATCTCACTAATGGGTGGATTGGGATGCAATACCAAAGTCAAATCATTCAGTGAGTCTCCCTGCTGATCCAAACAGACCCCTTTAACACCAGGAAGAGGTCTACAATCTGAAAGGAACTCTCCAGTGCCAGGAAAACAAATCTATTTTACTGGCACTAGAGAATCCTGGAGTGCCCCCATCCCATGTCGCTAAAAGGGTTAAAACCTCTTCAGCTACTTAGCTGAATCCAGCACAGATGTCCCTCGACGCTGGGTCAGGTACCACCCACGCCAGCCTTAATGCGCATGCATGGCAACGGCCGCACGCGCACATTAGACCTCCCCATAGGAAAGCATTATTCAATGCTTTCCTATGGGGAAAATCTGACGCTGGAGGTCTATGAGGATTCCGTTACACAGCCACAGAGGGCAGACTTAGTTCTCTGGAACTGCAGTGTTTTACATTACATTACAGCACTAAGTGTAAAAGTGTTTGGGTGGTCTGGGTACCTACAGTGTACCTTTAAGTATCCTATTCTTAGCCCATAAATTGCTGTTTAGCCAAGTGTATGGAATAAGCAGTTTATCCCCAAAGAGCAGTTCCACTAACTTAGGACAAAATAACTTTATACAAGATTAATAGATAGCAGATCTTCTGGTTTAGAACAGACAGTTGGTGCAAAGTGCTCTATGCACCAACTTTTGCAATAATTCAGTAGATAGGATCAGAATGACCTACTAAACATTTGGTTAGGGTCTTTGGTATGCATAAATGTCAAATCCGCCTTACAGTGGTATTTTAGCATTATTTATACCAGGTATGCTGTGCTTTAAAAGCAGGGGTCATTTTTTCAAGTTTTATATCCCAAAAGTAAAGTTAAGTTTGTCTACATCAAGACAAGTCACAAACAGAAGCTGCAAACTAGCTAGTACCCATTGTTTGAATTTCGCAGTTCTTGCAAGTACACCTACCAGACTACCTGACTGTCAAGATGGAATTTGCCTTTTGACCATGAACCAAGTTTACCATAATCATTACGTATCTGCAGCACATAAGTGTGTCCTGAGGCAATCATGCATTGCACTTTGTCCCTGTTTATGGCATGTAGTTTTGCAACTTGTTTATGAAAGGACTTGTGGATTTGTCTGTACATATTTAGCAATTAAAATATTGGATCACATCAGAAAGGCTTACAGTGGGCCATGAACCTGGTGAACTATAGGTCATTCACAAGCATGCTTACATTTAACGTCTTAATTTTGCACAGCATCAATTTAGTTACCTCAGGTGTGGTGATGAATGAAGATTGTCTTTCTCTTCCAAAACTGAAATAAAATAAAAAGCCATGATCAGTTTTACATAGCTTCTAAAAGCCACAATTTTAGATTTAAAAAACCATGACAGAATTAGGAAATTCAGAACAGTCTGGCAGGATTTAGTGAGGAACCGTGTTTACGGAGTGAGATACAATATGCAATGTCACTCTGCATTCCTGTTTGTCACGCAAAACACTTCTGTTATTGCTACACAGTCATTTACAATAACCTTGAGTTAACACTGAAGGTTACAGTCTTTGACAAGGCAGATTGTTTTCTCGCTTACAAATGGTCAAGTGGTAGATTGTTTTGAAACTACAACTCCCAAGAAGCTTTGCCAGCCTTAAAGCTGCAATACACAATTATACCAAGACACGTTAGCCAGTCTATGGAACAAATTCTACATAGATATAAAAAGGCTATTTAACCAATAGTGCTGGAAGATTTTTTTTATTGTGGCTAACAGATTACAGCAGGAAGAAATGCGTGACAAAAACATTTTGTACACATATTAGTAAGTAGTAACAACTGTGGCAATTTTCTACCATTAATTACATGCAGACCTTTTTCGGTCAGGTGTGGACAATTCACCTTGCATGTGTCGATTAACAATAGTTTGGTAAAGCATCATTCACAGGGTCCCTAGGGACTACAATAGGCCTTGCAGAGACAGCAGCAGACATGTCTGATCATGCTTCCTGCATCAATTCACTCGTTTTCCAGCTGATGGACTTGTGCCAGCTTTTTCCAGACGATAAGCTGGATCAGGGAAATTTAACATTCTCAAAGCTAAAGCAAACTGAATGGAGGGCTGGAAATCCCAGCTTTTTTTTTTTTAAATGAAGCCATGCAGACATTTACATGGAACCACATGAAGTTACATCTGTAATGACCTTACATGCAGGGGAATTGGAAGGTTAAACCTAATATGTACATTTATTTAACGTGTGGCTTCAAGAGTGTTCAATCATCAAATGCAGTGCATACTTATCAATGGATTTTAAGACATTTCAACCATTGCTGTCCTACACTTAACGTTACGGATAACAAAAAACAAACAAACACATTTTAGCTTTGGTACCACAACAAAAGAGTGAGCCTTTTACAAGACGAAAATAGCAATAAAGACGGTCATTAAATGTAGATTAGCCTCTTCTAAACCAATGTCAGCCTCTTAAATAAATACATAATATTCTAAATAATGTAATCCATTACTGTTCCTTAGATAAGAGCAGAGCTGTGGGCAGTTATCAGAGATAAACAGGCAGGTCAATACATGCTGACAGAGACTTTCTGGACCAGACATTGACAGTCAAGACAGACACTTAGGAAGGGGGGCTATTTATCAAGGTAAAATGTGTACTCTGGGGGCAGAGGGCTAAATAGAGTGTGATCACAATGTATAGTATATTAATGGGGAGTAATCACCATGGAGACCAATAGGTCTGTTTTGATAAATCAGTGTCCCTGGCGGATAGGAGACTAGTCTATGGACATTCTACATTGGAACGTACATTCTATATGGGTGGAATATTAGAACCTTGTGGTTCTATCTATGAATGACCATCATTAGGAGAGACAGACACTAGACAGAGGTAAAGGAGAGATACACGGGGGCCATTGGCAGCGAGTAGTCACCTTTCTCCACGTGGGGTCTGTTCTCTGGTGACACAGGCGGCGGTAGCGCAGGGTGGTATTGGGGTTCTCGGCGGTAGACCTTGGGCTCATGTTAAACATCGTCTGCGTCTTCAGCAAAACGACTGAAGCTCGGGCCGGCGAACGGCGGTATATATACACGAGGCGGCTCAGCCAATCAGGACGCGAGGACACGGGACGCGTCAGGTCGCTCGCCCCCAACAACCAATCGGGCGTCTTCCTGGCCCCTTTCCCCTTGCTTGGAGGCTTGTCGCGAGCGCTCCATCTTCACAGCGCACGCGCGCGCTGGGTGAACTAATCAGAAGCCGAGGACGGCCCGGGCAGAACGAGTCGTGGAACGCAAACTGCCTCCCCAGTTTGCGTTCCACGACTCGTTCGGCCCGGGCCGTCCTCGGCTTCTGATTAGTGGAGGGCGTGAGAGCGGGGGCGTGGGAGCGGCCTGAATGGCTTTCTATGGAGGGTGTGATGCGGAAGTGTCCCGTTGGAAGTCACGAGTTTTGCGTGAGTCATGGAGCATGATGCAAGAGCTGGCAAGCAGTGGCCAAGCCTGATTGAACCAAGCCCAAGGGGAATTTTAACACAACTTTCCCGAGTCCCGTGAATGGGACTTCCCATGTGCTTGTATAATAATAATTATATATACATATATAGGAGACAGTATTTACATAGTATCTATATATACCATGTGTGTTATATATTGAGATATATATGAAAAATGCACAGAGACATGGAGCCTCAAACTCCTGTATGCTCTATTCTGGCAAGACTGAACATGTCTAAAATATTTCTAAATACAAGGACATTTTTTCAGTGATATGTTTATTACACGCAATACGTTTCCTTTTTCCCAAGTGCTCACTGTGTATGCTGCGTGAGATAATCATCTATGTAAAGGCATGTGCTTTCTATTTCCTGTCAGGATTGTCGATAACGCAACATGCAGAATCTTAAGTAACCAGTCAAGTGATAGAAAACCCTTAAAGTATTACCGCAACTTAGAATGGACTGATTTAACGTAAAAACTAGAATAAACAGGAGAGCAGAGAAAGGGAACAAGCCAAAGGTCAATTTATTGTAAAGCGCTGCGGAATAAGCTGGCGCTATATAAATACCAATAATAATAATAAATACATGGAGGGATCAAAAGAAAATGTGCTCTCGTATAAACCACAATGGGAAACCATGACAGGGCATAGAATAACTGACAAAATAACGAACCCTAAGAGGTCTGTAATTCGCTATTTGCGATCGAATTAACTCAGAACGTGCATATGTGATGTCACAGTCACATCATAATTGGAGGCGGAGCCTTTAAATGGCTCATCTGCACAGCGTCCGTCGTCTGTAAGTGTGCCCGACGCAAAGGCTGCTGACAGCAAACGAGTTTGCCACGGCACCTCCCTGATCCTGACCAGCCGCGTTGGAACACGGTGGAGTTGAGTGCTTTCCACAGCTAGTGTGACACCTTCACCTTTCAATAAGCGTAAAAAACCAGGCTTACAGCCAAGGGCACATAGAACAAAACAAGTGACATAACAGGAATATGTTAGTGATAGGAATTGAAGGTGACATTAATACAGGAATGTGGTGCAAGGGTGGACAAACAGAAACTTTGGATGACCCAGCCTTTGGGAAGAAGAGTGCACCAACCTGGCAATATGGGGCAGTAACCCATTGGCCATGACAGTGGTGGTCTAACCAATATGCAATTCAGCAGAGAGATTAAACAGATGACAAGGGGTGGGAAAAATATGCCCCAGATGTTGTTAGACTGAAGCTCCTATAATCTTTGTGCCTATGTTTGGCAGAAAATTTGGGGAACTACAGTCCAACACATGAGGTGGCACAGTTCAACATTCCTTTAGTAGAGGGAGACAAGCAATAACCAAGCTCCCAGCCTATAACTAGTCTTCTTATGAAGGGAAATTGGTTTCAAACCCATTATCAGCTCATTCAATAGTGCACCGCTCCAAATAAAGGGAAAAAGTTAGTACCGCAAAATAACTCGTACAAAATAGAGAACGTTAGTTGGAGCAAAAGAAACATACTACGAGAATGGTGCTACAGGGGCATGAAGAGCAAACTGCCAGGATAGGTAACGCATCACACAGAATAAGGTCACACAAGCACAGTAAAAACAGTTGATAGTAGTACGTATTACCAGACCTTAAAGTGGCTGAGCTTAACGTGCAAACAATAAGAGATGTAAATGTTAAAAAAAAAAAAAGGGCAAGGGCAATGGAGATACACTAAGTCAATCAACAAGCCAAAGTCGGCTATATATACAGAACAGATTGGTCATCAATAACCAGTAATCAGAATATAGAAAAAACGTGCTTTCAGATAACCAAACTGGACAGCACGGCAGGGCTCTGAACAGATGTAAAGCTCAAGTATTCATAGGCTTGGGGCGTTTCCTTGATAGCCACTTACCCCCAAAGTGTGAGTGGGTGTTGACTTGACAGCATTATAAAAATGGTTGGGGCTATAATTTCTGGAGTCAGAAACGCTGAGGATGTGAAACTGATGTGGTGCCTTGTGGGAGAAGTGCCGTAGTGGAAGAGTGTCCTAACAAGAACCGCCAGTGCAACACAAAATGTGTAGGTTTGTAGATACAGTGCGGCCTACTGTCAAAGGCAGTTTGTGATATACACTAATCTGCAATAGCTTCAAACAGGTTTTATGTTGTAAAGTAAGAATGCTTTCAAAAAAAGAAATGTTTATTTTTTATCAATTAGCAAAATGCAAAGTGAGTGAACAAAAGAAAAATCATAATCAAATCAATATTTGCTGTGACCACCCTTTGCCGTGTTTAACCTTTTGCACAGTAGTGTATATTACAAAATCTCTGGCTCTGACACAAGGAACAAAGGAACAACAATCCACATGTAATAAACAAGAAAGAAGCACCAAGTACATTGTTGCAGATAGGACAAGATAGGCGGCACATATGCATGACATAAGACTGCAACAATATATAATAACCCATGCACCAAGCCTATTTGAGTGGAACAACCTGTGTCCAAGCAGAGATTACTGCTAGTGGCTGCATATGAGAGTATTTGACCTTCTTCATTATGATTTTCTATCTTAACACGTGACCAATATTACTTTTACCAAGGTTACCAATAACGCAATATTCAGATGTTAGGTTACTACTTGCTCTTAATGCTTTTTGACCTTTCTGCTACTTTATATTGTGAGAAAGCTGCTACTCCAATTGTTAAACTTCATGTACCTTGGTCTCCATGACACTGTTCCTTCACAGTGCTCATCTTAACTCTTCCAGCGACCTATCAGTGTCCGGTTTTCTTGGCACTTTTTCCTGCCAATCTATTTTAATTGGAATAAAAATAGTAAATAAACACAGCACTAGCACTCGATTCTAGAACGGTTAGAGTACTAGTTGCACTGCCAACATTCCAAAGGATGCACCATAAATCACAGTTAATAACACTGCACTACCAATTAAGGAAAATAATACATGGTCATATGTCATATTTATTAAATATATATAATGAACAGCTTTTTTTGTCCCTGGAGTACAGGGCTATGGTATTAGCTTCCCCTTGCAGGGGGAAGATTTTAACATTTGTTGTCCGCGTGCAGCGCGCACTGACAACAGACGGAATTTATGCACAGAATTGACATTAGGAAGCACGGATTAGAGTTCTGGGCTACTTAAGTCTTGTGTGCTGGGGTGACTTAACATTATTCATACTGACTCCAACCTCCATGACCATTTCAAATCACCAAAGTGGTCATGGTGGTTGGAGTAACCCTTTAATTGGTTTTAATAAGCATATATATTCTAATGAATGGCAATATATCTTTCTGTCAGTTTCTCCCTCTTCTTTCCCTCTTCATTGAAGTCATTGCTAGTATATACTAATACGAAATACAGTACTTAGAATAAGCTAGTGTTGTGTAAATCAGGAAGGGCAGTGAGTACAGTCATTATAAGGAAGTAATTGTAATCTTAAGTAAAGGCAAGAAGTTTGACCTAAATGACTTTGAATGCAGTTTGTAATACTTATAATGTCTCAGCCATTAATACTGTGCAGGTGTTTTCCTATAATAATGTGAATTGTAAAGTATGAGTGAAAATATATTAGCAGATTTACTTTCATAAAATGATCTCATTAATAAAATCTCAACCAACTGACGTTAGTCAAGTCAAACTCTGACATTTATTGACGTAATAAAAAAAGAAAATAAGAAAAGAGGTCCGGACACACAGGCTTACATCCAATACAGACTTTATGTAATGTCTGGTAAAAAAACATGCAGTATCATGCCTATATGTTACTTTAAAAATATCTCTAAGACAATAGTTGGCTTAGTATTCATATATAACATCATACTTCCAAGGTTCCCTTCTTTGGACAAAATCTTTCCGGTGACCATTTTGTGGAGCAGAGCGACAGTTTTTGTGTGGATGTGTATTACAATAATGTGTGCTTTACCTATTAACATTTAATTTTCACTAATTTCAGGTTGTTAGTATGCGGGACTCTTTATAAAATACATTTTTAACACAACACAGGTAGCTAAAGTATTATCCTTTACAAAGTAAATAATTTTCTTTTTGAATCATTCTCATTATAATATAATCACCCATTGCTACTCTGAAGGAACAGTGTAGGCCATATTTGTCTCTTGTGTGTTTCATGTACTATGTAATATTTTTATTTGATCTTTAGCACCACCTGTTGGTATGAGAGAAGTCAATAAATGGACATATATGTCAAGGTTGATTGGTGTTCTGGGTGACCTATGTACACCATGACAAAGGGCTTATGTGTGTATTGCATGGTCTCCCTCTTCCTGTTGCAGCAGATATAGAACAGAGCAAGTGGTATAATATGTGTCAGCTTTTATTTATGGAGAAAAATAGTTTTAATTCTTTGTATTTCAATTTTGTTTTAAATATGTTTATTTGTTTCATAACATAGTCCAATGCAAACGTATAACGTGTTAAAGCGGGTTAGTGCCTGCGCAGAGGCATATTGCATGAATGGATATATAAATCGTTGCCTGCGCAGAGGCTCATCAATCATGCCTATTGTTCTACAGCGTTTAATACAATATCACATTTGAGTGTGTTTTTGTCGTCTTTCTTTTTAGGGCATTGTTAAAACTTTGCGGTATCTAATAATCATTTGGCATTGAATGATAACATATCATTATGTCTTTGTTGCCTGGCCTGAGTCTTATCTGTCTATCTTGCATATTTATAGCCAAATAAAATATATTA